GAGAACGAACGCCCGCGAGGCGCCCCAAGTTGAATAAATCAGGTTAGATGGATAACTATTTTATTTTCTCTGCACACAATAAGAAAAATAAGGCTTTACCGCTGTATTTTTAGATAGAAAAGAAATTTAAATAATTGTTAAGTATCTACTTGTATATGACTATAGTTAACCATAATTTAATAATCACCTATCGTACTTAAGGTCTTTTGAAATATTTTTTGGGGTTAATTAACTAAAGCAAATTTATTATATATTGTATCTCCACATGTATTAGAAAATTTAGACAAATTATATAAAACCCATGTAGGTAAGATTGAGTTAATATACAAGACTTGGAGAGATTTGCAGATGAGAACAATGTAATGAGCGATCAATTTGCAAGACGCCAGGGCACGCATGCGCTGTACTCACATTTCATTTGTTTTATTTAGTCGCTATCCTTCGGGGAATCCGAAGCGCCTACTTCTTTATCTATTCATACTCAATTTACATGTAAGGTGGGCCGTATCCTTGGATATAAAATTATTTTTAAATGCACAATATTTTTTAGGCAAAATAAATGCATTTGCATTTGCATGCATTTCATATGTTTTGTGTAAGTAATCTTACTTCTTACTAATCTTACCAATGTTATAATTGCGAAAGTTTAGATGGATGGATGGATGGATGGATGTTTGTTAGCGTTTGTAGCCTAAACGGCTGAACGGATCTCCATGAAAATTGACACAGGTTTAGAGCATAGTCTGGAAGAACACATAGGCTACTTTTTATCCCTGTAATAGTTACGGTTCCCGTGGGATTCATTAATTTAATTTTTTAATGTTTACTCGATCATTCTGCAACGGTTCAACATATCTTATTGAAATTTTGCACATAAAACAAAGTCTGGAGTACACATGGGATAAGCTTCATTCCCGAGAAATGTCCGGTTCCCGAGGGATACGTAGCTTTTTGTAATTTATAGTAGGTAGTTTGTATGTTTTGTAATACCCCGCGTACGAAGTCGCGGGCAACAGCTCGTTGTATTACATAACGTATCTTAACAAAACACCCACATCAACATTTGTTAACGCCTACCAGAGGAAAGCCGATAAGTTAAATAAAGAAGTGTTTTAGCGCCCACGTCGTCCTGATACCTTAACAAGTGATTAAGTACCGCAGTACGAGTTGAAAATAAGCTCTCACAGTGACATTTACTTAACTAATGGAATAGTTGTATGTACCCTTTGGTTTTCCTAGATACTTTACTCGCTTATAAGTCACCACTTATAAGCGAGTAAAATCAGTCTAAGGCAGTGCCCTTATTAAGTTTATTTTTTGCATTTTAGTAAAGAACAATTCTTTTTATAATTGAATTAGAGGCTTTGAGTAACAGGTTAAAAAAATGCAAAGTTCTTTAACTCCACAAATAAGCATATTTAATTAGGAGAATGTAAAGTTGACACGAAATTCCGCTTTGTTAACAAAACAGTTATCTGACTTTTGGCCCCAAGCGACTAGATAACGGCCACAGGTTTAGACAAACGCTCGTTTTGATACACAATACGAAATACTAGAGTACGACATAAAATAAACAAAAATTAAAGAGAAGGTCACGAAGAAGTGGTCAGTGAGGATTTTGGACAAGCGTTTTAGTATTTTTACTTGTAGTGTACATGAATTATTACTATTACAATACTTTGCAAAGACTTTCGCACAACCCTTTACGCGACCGGTTTAAAGTTACCTCTTAATCCCAGTATAGACATCCTCCTTTAAATGGGACTCGATTCTCAATTTATAACACAAGTTTTTTTCTTGTGTACATGATTATCTCCGAAGCGAGTGCAGTCTTTTTATTTGAAAATGAAATAACGAAGTTGAATTTCATTTTTTCGCTTGAGCATTAAAGAGCATTTATAAAAAACCATCTTTATCGTTGTTTAGCTTGGCAACACAGTTGCGCCTATTTTGTAATTAATGGTTTTTGACAATAAAACCACTAAAAATGAGGTCTATGGAGAGGGTTAGATCCACAAGTAACTAATATAAATACATTTTTGTAAGACTAAAAGTGAATTCAAGAACAAACTTATGGTACTAAAAATTCTATTACGATTATCGATTACGGTTCTAATCGAGAAATTAATATACAACAGCGGTAGACGACGTTCATTGGCTCGTGTCTCCACTGTTCGGTACGTACGCCTACCGCTCATTCGTAAGACGAAGTAATTAAAACGCGGAAGTTTTACCATTCGTTAAATGCATGGACGAGCTTCCTGGGTTTTTAGATATCATGCAGATGAACTTCGCGTGCCTCCCGGCTGCGCTCGTGCGCGCACAGTTACATCATTACACTTGTAAACAATTCACGATTCGCTCTACCTACTACATCTACGTTAACGGGATATTATTATACTTTTTACGTATTCCGAGATGTTTAGTTTTTTTATCTACATATCTATTTAATTTGACTTAAATGTATAACAATGTATGCGATTTCTTACTTTTAATAAATAAAACTTCAGTGTAACTAATTGTACAATTCAACGAGTTTATATAAAAGGAGTATATATTAAAAAGAATATATTTATTCCTTTAAAAATCCGATTGCAACAGAAAATAATCATGTGTAAACAAAACATAGTCTTACATTAGCAGTAACACATTGCTTTGACCTGTATTATTTTCTTCTAGAGTTTTCTAAGTAGTAATTGAAAACATTACAAAAGTGAGCCGGACGGGGGGCGCCATTAAGATCATTTCATATCTACATTACCATAATTTCCATCTTCCAAGTCAGTCGTAAGTCGTGCCGTTAGCTCAGTGAATGAGGCGACGGTCGCGTAATCATTCCTCAGATTGTGTGATGTCATTGGGATCACTGGAGCAATAGCTCACTCATTTCTTGCAAGTAATCGCCCTTCATTGAAATACATTCAATCGGATAAGATTTACATGGTGTCCGACCATTACAGTTAACCAATCGACATACAGAGTTTTAAGGTATTTTATTATTTGAGCTTCCTGTCCTTTTAAAACTGTCAGCTTTATATCAGACTAGCAGTCCTGAATTAAAAACCAATAGTAATTAATATAGTCCATGTCATTCAGTGGTAACATAGCTTTTAGTGGTGAAATAGTTTCTGAAATCGGCGCAGTAGTTTTTGAGTTATTTCAATACATACAAAAATACAAATCTTTTTTCCATATAATGCAAGTATAGATAAGTAATTTGACAAGCTAACAAACAGGTCTTGCATTTTTGACCGACTTCCCAAAAGAAGGAGGTACTCAATTCGGCTGTATGTTTTTTTTTATGTGTGTATAACTCCGCCGCTAGTGGACCGATTTCGACAATTCTTTTTTTAACCGAAAGGAAATGCTTGCAGGTGGGTCCCATTTTTTTGTTTGATTTTTGTATGTAAAGTGTACGATTACACAACTGATTAAATTTTAGTTTAAATTATATAGCTTATTAGTGCTTAGTCCCACGTGACTTTAATTTCACCAACATCTTAAACCATTTTGATAATTGTCGTGCTTTTAATGACGTATGACAAATGAACATCATTAATAACTCAAGAAACGCGAAGCTATTCCGTTGCCATTGTTTTTGCTTCATGTAATAATATCCAGTTTGCAATGACATTGTAAACAATCATAATAAGGATAACAAAACATTGTTATGGCGTAGGTCACCTATAACTTTGTAATTACCTATGTATACATATGCACTAATTGTTATGGGCAACCTTGTGTTTATATAAATATGCATTTAAACCTGTGCTTTATTTGTTGTTAAAGTATGTCATGCTAAGTCCTCGTGTTATTGAAGTTTACCTTTGAAAACAACTTAAGTTGCTAATAGAATTAGGCCATTTACTAAGGTTATGCACAAAGTCAAACTCTAACAGAGTGTAAGTTGCCCCTAAGTTTGTATTTACACTTAGCATCTGATCGTGTTTACTTAAAATGTACTTTTATTTAGAAATGCGTGATTAATATTACTGAATTTTTTGCACGTGGAAATTTATGAGTATCCAAAAGAAGAAAGAAGCGAAGATTAAAAGATCGATACCCAGACATTATACTATCACAGGTTATGCTGAAAAAGTTAAAAAATACATAAATATAGGCTACAAATATCGGTACACCGTGATCTTAAGTTGGAAAGCCTAACGGTCGGCGGTCGGTGAACGACACCGAAGCCGCGGGGTGGACGGAAGCGGGAGCCGGGGGAAGATCACCGATAGCTCGCTTATAAAATTGTACCAATTATCGGTCCCTCACGTCATCGGTGCGATCTTTCAAATTCAAATTAAGTAACTATATGCATAAAATAAATCGCACAATAAAAAATCACACGAGCCGGCATGACTACCGGGTCTTTTAACACGTCAGTACAGAGGGATTATTAAAATAAATTATGTTAACAGTTTAAGTATGTTTATAAAAACGTCTCATTAGAAGATCTGTATCCGGGGCAGAAAATAACAAAAAGCTTACGAAAATTATCAGAGATGAAATGTTTGAAATAAAACTTAAATACCTGACTTCATTTTTCATGAACTATATACATATCGTAATATCAATTTATCTATTATTTAGTCTTTTGTGTAAATACGAGTACATTTAAAGTACTAAAAATACCAATTCAGATAAATTGTACATATAAAAAGTAATTTCAACACAATCAATTCGTATAACAAAGAGAATGCATAGTAATTTGATCGTTGATGTCTTTTCCATAAATTAAATAATAGATAGAGCGTTTATTAAATTTAAACGAGCATTGTCGTGTACCGTTAAACAGAGCGTTGGCTAACGGAACTCGCAGGCCCTAGTCCGCTACTACTAGCTTTTTGAATATCATCAAATTAAACAATCCGGTTCAATCTCAATTAGAATAATTTACAATAGACTATTTTATATACTATTCACATAATTAAAGTACTTTGAGCTTAGTACTTGGACACGTATTAATCTACCATTAGTATTAGATTATATTAACTTACTTGAGGTCTTAGTGTTGCGTGTCGGGAGTAATAGTCGTGATGATAAAAGCTGGTAGGCGATATCGGCGGCCGGTACTTCTTGTGGCCGTACATCGTGCCCATAGTGTCCATCGTGTGCATCTTGCCTTCTTCTACTACTCTCTCATTACCACAATGTTATGTCGCTACACGTGTAAGATGCAAGTCCATAGCCACATATCACTTGGATTGCATTCTCTGAAACAAATAAGATTGTCTTTATTTGAATAATGTTTTTACAACCTTTGTGATTTTACACCGTTTTTATCCATATTAAGTTTTTGTTTTATACAAATAAAAAGTGATAAATCTTAAACATTATAAGTTTTAGATAAACGTGAGATGTTTTTTTATCGAACATTTGATTTTAATAGTAAAAAAGACTTCATTAATGATTTTAAAATAATGTAGTTACTTTTATTTTAATTTATATTTGTATGCATAATCCAGTCATAGTTTGTTATAAAAAAATTAGCTGAGAATTTATTTTCAACTTTGCACACTTTTTTTATAATAGCAGTTTAACTGGCTTTACTCCCATTTGGCAACTACGATAAAAATCTAGATGAAAAAGCATTTTTAAAAAAGGAATTGTTTGTTATGAAAAGTTAGTTTAAACTAGGAGATGTCATCGTTAACCAATCTATATCCTAGGAAAGCATTTATACAAAGCGATACACTGTATTAAAATCATCCGAAACAAACGTATAATAATATATCATCAGCACGTAAGCCACGTTACTTTAATTACTCAAAGCACGATTGCCGCTAAATTATACTTATTTAAAACTTGTGTCGTGAATCGGTATCGTGGGATCGCAGAGACACGCACTACTTAGGGTTGCCATTTCGGTTCTGTTCCTAATACTCCAAGAATGCGTTATGCATTTTTAGGTTATCATCGATGTCTATTGTTTTCGACTGCAAAAGATGTCAACAATTGTCACGTTTCTGCTCGTCATTTTTCTATGATCTTCTTATATTTTTATTAAATGTTGGTAACCCTAACAACACGGGCAGTGGATGCGCCGTGCATATGTAAACACAGTGTACAAATATGCGCCAGTCTATTCACCGTGTGTTCACATAAAAGCACGCTGTTAAGCGCTTTGTTTTATCCGTCTTACTCAACAGTCGTATTCAACTATGTTGATGTTTTGTTGTCTTTGACATACTGTGTCATAAAACTAGATAACAATCTTAAAACATATTTAAATGCTTTTTTAATCTACTCAGATTATGAATAGTCTTAGGACTCAGACAGCTTAAAATGACGTCACTGTCAGATAAGGTAACAAAATTCGACATTTCCTTCAGACATTTTACACGTTGGTTTGTTATCGTTTGTTATCAGACAATTTACAATTTGGTGGGATAGGCCTTCAGATTAATATTCCTAACATAACTTGTCACGTTATTTTTTTTTTATTTGTAGGACAAAAAAATAAATGACAAAAATAAAAAAAGAGAGAAGCATCAAAACAAAAGTATATTATTCAAGAAAATAAAAAAAAGAAAGAAATTAAAATAAACACTGTCATCTTAGCTTAATCCGTTAGAATCGAATGGTAAATCACATTAACATATATTGGAATACTACAAAATTATGTTAAGATATGAATAACTTAATTTACTTCACAATCACAAACACCCACGGAGAAAGTAACATTTATAACGAAACGATAAAAAAAAACATAAAGACATTTTACAAATAAAAGTTATTACAGTAAAAATAGTGAGGTGGGACGCTCAGCATGACGTTAGTGTTTTACGGAAGTATGTGATGATTCGTTGCGACATACTTTCCTCGGTCCACCAAACCAGTCGTCACAAATCTACCCCGGTCAACGAAGAGAAATGCGGTTTGTGTGGCCACATGAAATTATGTCTAATTATAAATGTAGCCATTAAAATATTTCGGCTACGTCTCTTGTTATGTTATGATAAACGTGCCCGAAATTAATTGTAAGGTATAAAAACTACAGAAGTGATACCGATGGATAACTATGTCTTCAGGAGCCTTAGAACAGAGAAATTAAAGACAATCGACATTTAATTATATCTGATATATTTAAACCTTACTTTCGCCCGCGACTCCGTCCGCATGAAATAAAAAATAAACAAAAGCAAGCATCCTATGTGTTCTTCCAAACTATGCTCTACATCTATGCCAAATTTCATCGAGATTCGTTCAGGAGTTTAGGCTACAAACTCTAACAAACATTCATCTATCCATCCATCCATCCATTTAAACTTTTTTTTTTTTATAACATAAGATGGCAAACGAGCAAGCGGCCACCTGAATCCGCCAAAATGGCGAAGCGACCGCTGCCCATAGACATTTGCAATTGCAGATGCGTCGCCTTCCCTTATCCGACGGAGGAGGAGACGCACATAAAGAGGATATTACCTCTTTATGTGCGTCTCCTCCATCGTCTATTCTACTTCCCCTTCCCATCCTCTCATAAGAAAAGGGTGGTAAAGAGAAAGGGACTTGAAACACGGCATAAACTTTCCTATTTATAAGATTAGTAGGATTATTTGAGTGTAGTAATGTATTGGTAATTGATTTATGACTTCTAATTATTGGCATTTATTTAGATTTTTAGTATTATTCATATATTTTATTTTGTAACCTCATATCAAGAATATAAACTAAGAATAATGTAGTCTTAAACATACTTTTAAATCAATTATAATTACAATACTTGAACCGTTAATTTAATTGAGTCTGTATAAAATGCACGTGCAATAACTCTGTTGCGGTATTTAGATGAACAATACGCTGTAAGAAGCCAGACACTATTTCTTCAGTACCTTTTATTTTGGTTCAAAAAACTCATCGAAATAAAAAGTGTCAACTTGTCGTTTAACAGTACATTGAAATATAAATATTACGATATATTCTGCTAAGTTCATCAACCTGTAAATAAAATTGTTTTACACATGTATATAGCGTTTATATTAATTTATATTTTCGGTACATCTATCTATCTATACTATTATAATAAAGTGTAAACACACGCTACTTTGTGGCATAAGATGTCAGCAATCACAGAATGTTTTTGAATAATTCTTTCTTTAAATAAAAGCCCTACACTTACGTCACGCTTTAGGCTATATATTTTCACGCTATTAAACATAGGGGGTTAATATTTGGATAAAAACCTTAATGGGAAAGAGACCATAAGTTGCTGCCAACATCAAGAAAGCAAAATTGATTATTTGACACATGTGAACAATAAAATAAAATTTTCATAGTTTTTAGTCACAGGGGAACAGCTAGTATAAAATATTTGTGTCTCAATTTTTTGCAACGTAAATGAAAAAGTTTATGTTTTAACATGAATATTTTGAGACTCACGATAATATTCAATGCACCACACTTATCGAGGAAACGAATCGGTATAACTGTCAAAAATTTGTTTTTTACGCTCGTTTTGTATCACATCGCTTCGATTCATGTGAGTGAATTAAAAGGGCTTTATATATTTCTTTGCATTGTTTATATTTCAGGCTTATCCTAATTTGCGCCATCAAGTAGACTAGAAAATATTCGGGTTAATGAAATCTTTAATAAGTATATCCGACATCTTTAATTAATCTAAAGAGTAAATAAAAAATAAAAAAATTAATTCTTAACAACAAAAAGTGAATGAAGAAATTAGTTGCCTAAGATATAAAGACATTGGAACCAATTTCAATAAATTACTCTAAGACCACCAAAAGGAAGGAAATGCTTCATAAATGAAATTTTATTATTTTATTATGTTATAATATGCACTAGCTTTCGCTGCAACTCCGTTAGTGCGGAATTTAAAAAAAACCTCTATGTTCTTTCAGGCTACAGTTCTCTATCTATCTATTTTATCGAAATTAAGAAATCCATCCAACCTATCTAAACTATCGCTTTTATAATATTAGTAAGTAGTAAGATTGATTAAAATTTTATAATTGAATTTATGAATAAGAAGTTATTTCTCACGGCGTGAGGGATGACCTCAGTTCAGGGCTGCGCAGGCGCAGGCTTGCCCGGTTGATAGCACGGATGAATGACTGTATTATTTTCAATGTTTCCTCTACAGCACATCTATTATTCTCGTACTGAGCAAAAAGTCGAAGCAATGTCGAAATTAATTGTCGATCGCTATCACGAAGTTGTTACGATACGGAGATGAATTCTCGTACGCGAACAATGACTGGATACCACCTATTCTGAATACAAATTTCAACTACCATAATTTAAAGATATAAAAAATACAAAGATAACATTTAGCAAAGCATTCGGTTCAGTAACAAATATATTTAAAGTGGTGCATTACTTATTATAGAACTTAATTACTTTTCAAGTTATAAAATTCAAAAGGCCTTTAACAAACAATGTTGTTTTAATTTCTATCTTCAAATATAATTTTATATTAATAATCAATATCAAATATATAACTTGTACCGATATTATAAAGAGAAAATATTTGCATTTTCGTATGTATTGAAATAACTCAAAAACTATCAGCCTAATTTCAAAATTTCTGTTACCATTATAAAGATATGTTATCAGTGAGTAACATAGATTACATTTTCTGTAATTTACTAATTTCACGTGGACGAAGTCGCAAGCAACAGCTAGTAAAATTTGAAGTACATGAATTCTTCATACTGTCATTACACATTTAACAAATAAATAAAAATAACAGTTTATTTAGAAAAAAAGTTACTTATATACCTTAACCTATATGTTTATAGTATAAATGACCTTTAAAATTCTATTTCCATGGAACAAGTTTCAAAACAGACGCCCTTAATGTTTAGCAGTACGCAGCAATGACACGCTGTTTAGATCGTTAGCACGTAGAGTACATAACAAGAGCAGAAGGTAAACCTTGCTCTATCTTCTAATCGCCGATGACGCACAATACGCACCGTGGGAAACAATACACGACTATATAGTACCAACTAGAAACAATTGACAGACGAATGACTGTTAAAAACAAAAGCGATAACAGAAATATATACCATACGCGTGAAATTTAAAAAAAAATACAGAAATAAGTAGCCTACGTATTCTTCCAGACTAACCTCTACATCCATGCCAAATTTCATCGAGATCCGTTCAGGAGTTTAGGTTACAAACTTTAACAAACATCTATCCATCTAAACTTTCGCATTTATAATATTAGTAAGTTAGATAAACCTAGATG